TGTGTGTCAGTGTAGCACACCAGGCGTGTAAGATAACACAGGTCGGTGTGTTATTAAGCACATCTATTTTTTAGAGTGCACCAACGATGTTTCGGTGGGTGGTCATCCTCACTGATCTCAAAAATGTGGCGGACTCTCATGAATTACGGACACTGATTGGTCCAATTTAAAGTTTGCATTATAACGACTGCATGACGACAGCGAAATAGCAAACATTTCTTGATTTGATGATTGATAAATTTCTTGCAAATATATTTCATTTTTGCTCGCATTTTTTGCAAGATTTTGTAAATTTCAAAAGCTCTCTCAGAACGAAACTGCGAAAGAATAGGCTAAAAAAAGGGAGCCCCCGTTAACGAAGATAAGTTTGTTTTAAATATTGATTTTATAATGGCTTTAAAACCCGACGCCCTTTGGCTCTGCGTCCATGAAACAACTAAACAAGACAGGAATGATATAATTTCAGTGTATCTTTAATATCGATTCCCTTTTTTATGATATTGAATTTTTTAAACAAAAAAGAAAGCAAACTTATTTGCAAGAGAGAATTTGAAAGTATTTTATTGCAAACTCAAAGTTTATCGATAAAGCCATTTTAAAAGGCAGATTAGTTTTATAAAGAACACTTAGTGACTTAAAACGTTTGCGAAGCGTTTGTGGTTAAATTTTACCCGTTAAATTGAGGCTTATATTACGTATAATAACATACCTAACATATATGTTGGGAAATTAATAATTTTGTAATTAAAAGTGATATTTTTAGGCGATTTTTCATTTGTAAGAATATTCTTAAAAATTTATCGTGTTACCATACCAACTACTTTAGATACTTCATGTTCGGAAAATACAATGGTTTTTCCAGGAAGGCGAGGGTTTCTGCATGCATGTATTTTCTAGTTTTAGTGTTGGATGCAGTGTACCAGAGACGAACGTTAAAGTACATAGGCTTGCTGAAGGTTTATGTTAGCCATCTCATGTAAAATAATACTTAGCCTTACAAATTGCAACAGAATAATTTGATATATTATTCATTAATATTGAACAGAATTAGATAATATGCATTATATGCAACCAATATATTTCTTTTAGGTGATTTACAGAAGACACCATTTGTTTTATCCAGCACCATGACAATAATGTCGCCATTCGTCGGAAATCTGGTATCCTCTGCTTTCGAGACGTCCTTTAGTGATTTTCCAACGTCTATCGCACCATTGTCCACATATCCTAGAACTTGTTCAATCTCAAGATCTCAAACTTATTCTTCTGCGATTCAAACTACATTGTCTGTTGATCCAGGTATTCAAACATATCTATTAATATTAATACAAAAAATAGTTTCAGTCATCTATTCTTCTAGAGCCATAAGTAATGCAGTTAAACGTAAAATGCTTTGACTAATTCTTCACTTGCGATGGGACGTTTTTCGCTTAACAATAACTTATTCAACAAGTCCTGTGATTTACGCCACTCGCATCTCATTAAGGAAAGATTTAACAACAAAGACTTTAAAATATTAAAGAGTTCTGATCAACCACAATGCATTGCTTGCGTTTGTTTACGTTTCTGTTACGTTGTGGGCCAGAGGCAGCTATTTTGTGTGGCCTCGAAAATGGCGGCAAAAATTGATAAAAGTAACGGAAAAAGAATTCCTTTGCACGAATATTTTACATGTCATTTTAAAAATGAAATTGGGAACATGTTGCCATATTCAACACCGAGGGCGCACATATAACATATTATCATATAACTGGAGCCGGCGGGATTTTACTTTAGAGAACAACTTATCGCAAAGTTAAACGTAAACAAGTTAAAAAACTCTTAGCTACCAATTAAAAGCTTTCTACTAGCAATAACCTATTCCGCAAATCCAGTGTTTTTGCCACTCAGGTCTTAATAGGGAAAGGTTTAAAAAAGAAAGAGCTGAAAAATTATGAGTAACTCAGGAAGTGTGAACACATGGCGGTGCGCCAGTGCTAATATGTGCGCCTATTCATTGTGCGCCTATTGTGTGCTAATATGTGCGCCTATTTAGGCAGTCGGTTTACAACTGATACAACGTTTTTTTTAAATTCATAATGATCTGATTTGGTCACTTGCTAGATTACATATTCCTTAGAGCTGAATGACTTCACTCTTTTCCTTAAACACGGTTTATTCAGTTGGACCAGTATTTAAATATATTTAGTCGCAAAAATGCGATTTAGTCCAGCGGAAAAGTAAAAAATCATGCACTTTGTGAAGAAAGCACCCACTTCACAGGAAGTGAAGAGTTTAACATGATAATGAATCTTAGATATGGAGGCATCACCAAAATTGATGCTGACGACTTCAAATTTAGGATTTCATATACTTCTCTTATTAAGCTCTATTACTGTTTAAAATTGTGAAATTGCAGGTTCACATATAGCAAAAATGACTTGCATGATTAGAAAGCTTACAATAAACTACATATATAAACTTTTAAACGGCTGATTCATTTTCCAAGCGGTTTTCCATGTATTGCTATTTAAAAACGTGATAAATAGGCAAACATCCCGCCAAAGTCCTGGACACTAGCCCTAAAACATATTTTCAACCGCTCATAACTCCAGAGGAGTTGGAAAATCAAAGTAACAGCTTAAATGTCTTATATGCATTTTTGGAAGCTTTCTAATGACGCATGTCATTTTATATATATATATATATATATATATATATATATATATATATATATATATATATATATATATATTGATATATATATATATATATATACAATTTTTAATTGTAAAAGAGATATAAGACAATATAAGAAATCCTAAATTTTAAGCGGTCAGCATCAATTTTGGCGATGCCTCCATATCTAAGAGTCATTATCATATTAAAGTCTACACTTCCTGTGAATTTGGTGCTTTCTTCACAAAGTGCATGATTTTCTCAAATATCTGTGCATATCCGCTGGACTAATTATACAACTCAAGCTGTTGCGAGCAATTTTGAAATCACAATCGCCAATCCGATATAAATTGATTTCAACAAATGAATGTAATAAAATAAAGTAATACAACGCAATTAATCATGACCATATAAAACCACTAACCCTTGTAAAGGGTAACACATACGTTCAGTAGGTACGAACAAGAAATACAACGTCTAGCGAAACAAAATTACAGACACAAGATAACAAAGCAATATATAAAAAGTTAATTTTCATGGCAAGCTTTTTATTTTTTGATATTAGAAAGTTTAAGCTTCGCGTTATACGTCAAGCGGTAAACGGCAAACGCCAGGCAAAGAAAAATGTTACGGCATCAGGCAATAAAGAGTAAATGAACTTGCTGTTTTA